TGCGTGCCTATAATCCAAGCTACTTGGGAGGCTGAGGTAGGAGAATCGCTTGAACCCAGAAAGCAGAGGTTACTGTGAGCTGAGATCGTGCCATTGCACTCTAGCCTGGGCGATGAGGGAAACTCCGTCTCAAAAAAAAAAGAAAAAAAAATTATTCAGCATCTGTATGTGCTGGGCACTGTGGAGAGTCTATTTCCAGTACCATGTCATAAAAAAGTTCTCTTTAATCCTGTCATCTCTGAAAAACACTGTCCCTGAGAAACTTACCGAGACATCCGCTAATATGCCAAAAGTTTACTCTGCGCTCCTGTAATTTGAATCCTCATTTTGCTCAGCTCAAAATAACTTGACTTTCAACGGAACATAAATCTCTCTGATAAGGTCACGTATTACTAGACTTTTTTTTCTTCAGTTAATCATGGCCCAGGAAGGGGCCTCTGGGTTTTATCATATTCCAAGATATTTATTATCTTAAGCTCAATTTTCTATCCAGATAAGACATGTTTAGATATCTCTGCCTGCATCTGGTTTCTGTCCTCCTCTGGAGACATGAGCAGACTGTTTACAAAAGATATTTTCAGATTCAGCAGAAAAAGGTCCCTTTTTCTTCCTGCTTTGAGGCTGACTGTGCTATTTAGCTGTGCTATAGGGAAATCAAGAAATACTGACCAGCCAGAGTGCCTAGCTCAGCCCAGGGCATTACTGACCCAGGAGATCCAAGCAATAGAATGAGATCTCATCAGAAGCACTTAGAATCTTACTGGGTTTTTAAGACCCACAGAGAGCCATCAAGTAAGGACAGACAAAGGCCAGGCAATATAAAATCACACACGAATTTGGTCTGCAGTAATTAGTACCACAGTACAGTACCGTTATAGGAAAGGGGTCCTGATCCAGACCCCAAGAGAGGGTTCTTGGATCTGGTGCAAGAAAGAATTCAGGGTGAGTCAGTAAAGTGAAAGCAAGTTTATTAAGAAAGTAAAGGAATAATAACAGAACGGCTACTCCGCAGACAGAGCAGCCCCCGAGGGCTGCTGGTTGCCCATTTTTATGTTTATTTCTTGATGATACGCTAAACAAGGGGTGGATTATTCATGCCTCCCTTTTTTAGACCATATAGGGTAACTTCCTGACGTTACCATGACATTTGTAAATTGTCGTGGCGCTGGTGGGAGTATAACAGTGAGGACAACCAGAGGTCACTCTCGTGGCCATCTTGGTTTTGGTGGGTTAGAGCCGGCTTCTTTACTGAAACCTGTTTTATCTGCAGGGTCTTTATGACCCATATCTTGTGCTGACCTCCTATCTCATCCTGTGACTTAGAATGCCTTAACCATCTGAGAATGCAGCCCAGTAGGTCTCAGCCTCATTTTACCCAGCTCCTATTCAAGATGGAGTTGCTCTGGTTCAAATGCGTCTGACAGTACTAGTGATAAGGATAAGGTTTCTGAGCACTGTTAAATTTAAAATGAAATCTTGTTCCCAGAGTAAGTCAAAGATAACTGTCTTCTTACTCAGTCTTTTATGTCATCCACTGATCAGACTCTGCTCTCTCACCTGATGGCAATGAAGCGCAGCAACACTGAGCTCCTCCGAGTGAAGAAATCATTGTTTTCTGCACAACCTGGAGCTGAATCATAGAAGAAGACAGCTTGAAAGATAAGAGGCTGTAAGGCAGACCACAGAGGATGGGGAGGATTTCCCCAGCACCCCGGCCCCCACAGTCAGCTCTGGTTCAGCGATTTCAGCAACTCTTTCTTGACCCATCTGATTTTGTTTTATCCCAGCCCTGCAGAGAAAGGACTCTACAGGTCAGGACTTGCTTCTTCAACAAACAAAAACTCCTCTGCCAGAAAAGTTGGAGAAACTAGTTTAGTCGGAGGATATGAAGAAGTCACATCCTCTTTGTTCTGGGGACCTTGTTCTGGGGACCTTGGTGGGAGATGAGGGTGGGCTGGTGGAGACGAGGGTGAGAATGAACCTTACCGCAGACCCTTTGGGCTCCCCTTCTGGCTGCAGAAGAGGAAGGGAAGGAAATTGGCCAGCTGCTGTCTCTGTGACTGGACTTGGGCCAATCAAGAAACTGAGAGGAGCAGGGCCAGCTGTTGTGCCTCAAACTTAGGCAGAAACAAGAAAAGGCAACGATTTGGGGCTCTGAGTCACCCTCTCTGGAGACAAGAGAGCTTGGAGGAGGAAATCACTTTTTGAGCTCCCTTTGCTTTTACACACACATGTGTTTAT